ATCAGCACCATTGCAACGGATGTGGCAACTGTTTTCCGATAGACACGCGCGACTTGCACCCGTGCCGCGAGCGCAGCCTGGACGCAAAATGTCCCATCTGCACACACTACCCATCCCAATGCTGTCAGGACTATTGATGATGCGTTCGCAACGCATTAATTTTTTCATGGAGTATCTGAAGGTGCGGCACCGAACACATCTACTTCATTCGATGATATTTTACCTTCGGAAGAACCAACAATGTATCGGCGACCGACCTTAATCCGCCGATTGCTGTCCTCTGAAAAATTATCTTTGGATATGTACGACTGCCGATTCCCGTCATTTCGTGAGAACCCAACGCCACCTTTGAACGTCGAGCTTTCTGGAACGGCGAGAAACCCTGGTCCATATTCGGGAGCAGCACATTCCTTCGAGCGACCACTGCCCGTCCCATCCTCATATCCTGCGCCGGTCAGCCACGCAGCTGAAGTTTCTCAGGCAAGGCATGCAAACTCCTCGCGTCATTCGTAGCTAACCCACTGCTAATACTTCCCGGTTCTCTGGCTGCGTCGACGCCTTCCTTCCCACACGCCACGCCTAAGAAAATTGTGTCGAATTATGAAGCAGTCGGTCCAGTTGGACGCTCGACTGTCGGCAGCGGAACTGTTCAGAGTCTTCCTGCCTCGAAGGTACATGCGGCACAATGGGCCAGGACATTGCAGCCGCAACCGGGCATATCAAGAATGCTGTACAGTAACATCCATTCAAATACGGGAATACGAATTGAATGTCTCGAAACAGACTTGGCAACGCTGGCCATTGTCGTGGTGAAGAGCATCGCAATTTTCTTTATCAACAACGTTGAATGGTTTTAGGCGGTTGGTTTTAGGCAGTTTCTTATAAACAGCAACCGCGTCAACGACTATTTGAGGAGCACGATTCTGCGGGTCGCTGTCGTACGCAGTGCCAGAAATGCGTAGAAGCAATAAGGAATCGCGTTTGATCTGCGGACGCTTAGAGTGTTTATCTGTCAAGCACTCACGGGGGGATTTTATTTGTCATGGAGGAGAGGATCTGACAAGAGATTCTTGCGAATCGGGGTAAGGCAGAGATCCCGAAGATGGTACTGTCGACGGACGGGCACGCGTTGTTGAAAGCGCTGCTGCGTACCAACCTATTACGGCAGCCGACATGCCAGGCTCTACGCAAGTTCAGGATTTTCGTGGGAGTGGAATTGGACGGGCCGAGCCACGAGGTGCCTCACAAAACTTCTGTCAAGAACGTGACGGACAAGATTGGGCATCCGTTTTACACGCAGGCTCAACACACTCCGACTTTCATTGTAGCGCACCATCATACATGACTACCGACTGCATAATTATCCCTCATCCTGATTGTCGTTGACTTCTCGCTGCACCCATTTCTCGTATCTCTAAACGGAGTACCTTCAATATGAAGAAAACCACATAGCGATAGTTTCTCAACATGATCTCGTTGAGTTTTCCGTATGCTTTCCTGTTCCAATGCCTCGCCATTTTTTGATGCTCCTTCTTCTTCAGGGATTTAAAGTATGAGAACATGAGACGTCTGTCCTTGACCTCGGGTGTTTCTGGAGCAGCTCGACTCTTCCCCTGCGAATGTGGGTCGAGCACCCGGTCATTGCGAGCAGTAATATTGTCCTGAACAGACGCGCCGATACTTGGCGGAAATGACGGGGGGTTCACGAAGAGCTTACACGTTGATTTCTGAGAAATTGATGCCATGATATTGGCTTTGAAGCTCGGAGAACTATTATAATTGCTTGCTGGTGCCTGCGAGGAGTTAACACCGGATCGGAAGGGAGATGGAGGACAAGGGGAATCAAAAACGGAGCTTGCCCCTGGGTTCTGGGGAGGGGGTATGGAAGGAGATTCATTGTGTTCCTGCGCGAGACTGGCATCGAGTACACGTGCAGTGTCGCAAGCGATCTGTTCGGCAGCTCGGTGTGTTGCACGTCGTGTTTGCGTAAAATGCCGAGAAGATCGCCGGTGTGCAGGTGGGGAGCGAGGAGCTTTGGAAGCAGTATTACGCGCCCTTGTCATGGCGCTTGGCTTGTGTGGGTTTCTTCGGACAGAGAAGGAGAACTTCTAGCATATAAAGGGCGCGGGGAAAAGCAAGGAGGAAGGCGGGTGAGGGCATGGCGGCGAGCTGTGCGGGGCGGGGCGGGGAGAAGCTTGGGAATGTACACGCGGCAAAATGGCAGGTTCAAAATCGCGTGACGGCGCGTCACTGTATGTCACCGTAGTGGGCACTGGGCGGCCTCTGATTGGCGCCCGACGGCTACGATTTGAGGCCGTGAGGGCGCGGGGAACCGTTCCTGTGCACACGCTTCTGTAAGCGAGTTAGCATTTGGGAGACTACAGCGCTCACTCTATAAAATGGCGGGAGAAGGTACTGTGTCTGGTTTGTAATGTTGAGAGAACCAATGTTTTGATCTGCATGTGCTCGTATTTGGATTTAATTCCACCCTTTCATTGTACTGCGAGTGCCACTGCACTGCATTGAGTCCATGGAATTTTAGTAGTGTGCATATGGACTGGGTGTGGATTGGTACTTCCTTTAGCCAATGGATTTCGACCAGTTCGCAGAATTACTAAGCATTACAGTGGTTCTGTGTAGCATTCGTTGTGGCGTGCGATTAATTTAATGAAATGACCCTGCCAATAGCGTGACCGCAACTGGTGGAAGGAAAACAAAAGAAAAGAAAAGCGCCTGTTAGGACTGGCCCTGAGGAGAACGAAGCTTTCGAAACTTTCGCCGCTGCTCTCTACTCTGCACTGTATTTAATAGTGTGAAACTTCTGAAAGTATCACACTATCACGTCGCCAGAGGGACACTGAAATACGATGAACTGTTCTGCTCAAAATAAGGTGCGAGGAGTTTTGGGGAACGATTGTCTCGGACCCCGCCGTAGGAGGCCGGGGTCACACTTTAATATGAGTGTGATTTAGGGCTAATCTGTGGTGCCCTTACAGTCTGCGCTGATGTTCTCGTGGTCGCGCAGTGGTGTTGTGGTGCCCTTACAGCCGTGGGTGCGCGGCTGCGAGACGAGGCGTATGCTGTTGAGGTGTTTGGCATAGGTTTGCCGCGTGAGCGGTTTGGTGAGGCAGTCCGCTCGGAGGTCTGCAGATGGTTCGTAGGTTGGTAATATTACCTTGTCGCGTGTCAGTTGCTGTAACACGTGGTATCGTACGTCGATATATTTTGTTTTGCGTGTGGGCGCGGACGCCTCGGCGCCGGCGATTGCGCCTTGGTTGTCCATATGTAGCGCCGTCGTGGGGAGTTTGGTGCCGGTAATTTCGGTTGTGAGGTTGCGCAGCCATTTCGCGTGCTGCGCGGTTACGCTTGCGGCTATGTATTCGGATGCAAACGTGGAATCCACCACGGTCCTGATGCGGCGGGACGACCATGATATGGCGTTATTTCCGTAACAAATGACGTTGCCCATCGTCGATTGTCGGGTGTCGTGGCACCCGGCGAAATCTGCGTCGGAGAACGCGGATACGCGATGGGGACCTGCTGTGTATATTAGGCCGTGGTGGATGGTGTTGAGTAGGTATCTCGCGACGTGCTTGAGGGCCGTCCAGTGACGCCCTGTGAAGTGTTTGGTGTGTCGGGATAACACACAAGTGATGTAGGCGAGGTCGGGTCGGGTGGAGTCGACTAAGTATCGCAATATGCCTATCACTCGGGCATAGGGATATTTTTTGTGTCTAGGCATGTTTCCTGTGGGTCAGGGGCGTGCAGCTTCATGCCGGAGAGGTATGGGGTGTGGGCGCGCTTGGCCTCGTCCATACGGAGGAGGATTACGAAGGACCGGGCCAAGTGTGGTTGGGAGATGTGCAATGCGCCGTTGTGTGACCAGTTCAATGACCAGCCGATTAGGTGAGCAGCAGTGCCGAGGTTTTTGACGCGGTATTTCTGCCTGAGATCGGCCAGCAGGCTTTTGTACATCCTGTCGCTGTTAGTGCCGACGGCGAAGTCGTCAATAGTTACCGCCATGATCAAAAATTTGTCCCCGTCGCGTTTTCGGTAGACGTTAGGGTCGCCTTTGAGCTGTGTGTAGCCGTGGGTGATGAGATGTCGACGGAGGCCGTCGCTGTATACACGTGGGGCTTGTGGCGTGCCCCAGAGGTTTTTTTGTATGCGGGCGACCATGCCTGGTCGAGTTGGTGTACCGTTGAAGTGTGGCAGTGGTGTGACGTAGAGTGGTGTTTTGCCGCAGTACGGTTCGTGGAGAAAGGCGCTTGTGAGGTCTATGTGTCTCACGCGGATGCCGTGTGAAACGCATACGGCGAGGACAAGTCGCATGGCGTCTCTATCGGTAGAGAATGTCGACACGGCTCGTGCGTCGTAGTGTATGCCCGGCGTAAGTCTATTTCCAGGGTAAGCACACCGTATTTTATGCCCGATGACGTTTCCGGTCTTGTCTAGCTTGTAGCTTAGATTCACTACCGGTGAGAGTACTTTGGTCTTGGGCGGGAGCGCTGCACGGGGGACGTAGGCGAATGTCCCGAACGAGGAGTGCATGTTGGTTTCCTTGCCGTACGCCGTAGCCCACGCATCGGCGTCGGGGGCTGCTCGTGCCTCGTACAGATTGCGTGGTGGTTTGGGGGGTGGCTTGCGCACGGTAGTGTTGTCCGATGTGATTTTTGTGTGGCTTACCAGGTTGGCTTCGGTTGGTATGACGTGGTGGGCGTTCACCCTTGGGTGAACTACCTCCGCAGGTGGTAGTGGGTGGGCATACCGAAGGCTTGGGTCAAATTTGGGGTTGTAGGGTCTGAAATTGACTATGCGCGCAGTCATCAGTTGTCCGTTCCGGGGGTTAAGTACTTTGTAGTGCCGGTCGTCTGCTGGGTAGAGGTATCGTACTAGTATACCGCGGTTATCGCTTTTCTGTTTGATTGCGCGTACGTCCGGTATGAAGCCGTACTCGCCGAACATGCGGTAGTTGCCGAGGAAGAGACTACGATGGGGAAAGGGGGAGTATGCGTGGCGATACCGTGTCCAGACTGCTCTGGGGATGTCTTGGATGGTGGAGTGGTAGCATGAGTTGTGCTTAATGGTGGTGTCTAGTAGGCACAGTGCCCAGTACTTCTGGAACGGTAGTTTGGCTGCGGTGAGTGTTGCTCTCATCCTCTGGACGAGGGTCCTGTTGAGTCGTTCTGATACTGAGTTCTCTTGCGGGGTATGAGGCGTGGTGGGGTCGAGGTGTATACCCATGGACGGCAACAGTCCGAT